TTTAGAAAAAAACGGATGGGGAGAGTAGGATTAGATGCCATCACACTTAAAGGCAGAAATGACATTAGGCCTGTAATTCATCACAGAAAGTGCAAAGCATGAAAGTGATGAAATGTCAACCAGGTGGTAGGAGCTAAGAAGCCAATAGGCAACAACAGTGTTTGTCTATTAGTACGAGTATTGGATAGTGAGGATTCCATTGCAGTTTCTCCATTCCAGATGCTGCGATACCTCTCTCACATAGGTAGATTACAACAGTTGCCATGTTGTCAATAGAGCTGAGTTACAGCAAAAGACACACCTTTAAGGCTAGGGTCAGAAATTAAACATAAACCGGTATAAGTGATTGGAAGCCAGTTCAAATCTGTAACACAACAGAAGCTCAGTGTTCATAAACTGTTTTCAAAATGGCCAAAATTGTTTTAAGATAAACCTGGATGGATGGATGGATATAGTATTAAGGCTTAACTGATTTAAGTAAAATCAGTTTATTGAACGTCCGACCCAGATCCCCTCCAGATTCAAGTTAACTCACAGGCTCCCAGCATCCCAGGATGCTTTGCACCTCCCCCACAAGGTGGGCTGGCCTTAGTCCAAGCTCTCTGCAGAGAGGCATACTTTAGTACCACCAAGCTTCTGGCCTGGGCCACTGCAGCACTGCAGATGTGTGGCTGCATTTATGGAATCAAAAGTGTTCACTTGCTTATCGTTCAATCTGTGCAGTTTAGACGAACCTGCAAAGATTGAATCGATTCAGCCTCAGGCTTTTTGACTTAGCCTAATAGTGTAGGCATAAACAAAACTAGTTTATTAAGACTTTCCCTTGACATAAATCTCTCAATTTCTGGTCTGATAGGATGAATGGAACCAACTCCACAGATAGTAAATGGTACATGGACAGAATAATACAACTCTGTCCAGGGCTGCACAGATACATTTCAGTTCAGGGGTGTTCAAAGTTTGCCTTGTTGGCACATAAAGGAACTGCTTCAGTAGTTCTTGTAACTTTTTCCTGTAATAACCCTTTGACCCCTTTGAAGAAACCACAAGAGTTCTTCAAGTTACTTCAGTCATTTTTATCTTATTTTACTCCCATCCTCCTAATTCTCTTTGTGCTTACAAGTGAATGTCGAATGTAAGCTGTAACTTCTTTCTTTTTTAGTGTCAGAACCTAACCATTATTTAGAGCTTTTTAGTATTAATATTTTTATAACTGTTCATACTGGCACACATGTTAAATCTCTGGCAATATTCCCATATCAGAAACATAAATATTAACACAAATTATATTGTTCCCAGTTTGCATCCCAGTAAGAGCCAATATTCAGTCCTATAAACAGTCTTTCTCAACCTATGGGTCGTGACTCAAAAGTGGGTCGCAAGAATATTTCAAAGGTTCGCAAGCTACAGCAGGGCAGAGGGTCAAAGGTTCGCAAAGCTACAGCGGGGCAGAGGGCCAGCAGGAAGGCCCCTGCCCCTTCCAGCAGCGGAAGAGGTCAGGGGAGAGCTGCGTGGCCAGTGTGGCAGTGCTGGGGCCAGTGCCCATGCTCGTGGGGGTAGGCTGGCTGGGAGATGCTGCTTTGGGGGTGGGAGGGGCCAGGGGGCTGTGGGTTGGGACAGGCCATGGATCTTTGCAAATGGGTCCCAGTAAGAAAAAGGTTGAGAACCACTGCTATAAAGAATCCATAAATTTTTAGTGTCTATAATTCACCCAACCTGAGATTAATTTACTTTTGTCTTTGCAGGAAGAAACAAAATTATTTTTGTGTTCTTTCTATTCAGATACAAACTAGTCAGAGGAAACCATTTATTCAGAGAATTTATCGCCCATGTCCTCCTTCTCTCTCCCCTCCCCCTGCTTTGTTGTTGTTGTTCTTTGCTTTTTAGGAATTATTTGCAAACAGATCACAGAGGGTACCCAAGCTAAAAGTCAGTCTAGCTGTGAGACAGGGGACTGTCATCACATTTAGTAGCATTTCACAACCCAAGTATTGGGGTTCCAGGGTTGCAAGAGCACTTGCCATTATTAGCTGCAAGTGCTCCTGGGAAGTTCATACTAATACTTTTCAAGCCAATCAGGAAGAAGGTAGTCCCTAAACAAGCTGATAGTTTAGGGACCCTTACATTTGCCCTTTCACAGAGCAATTTGCTGTAGGTTGGAGAGAACAGAATTTTGTTATTAATATTACATTTTTATTGTCATAATATTCAGTAAGTTAGCCTGTGGTCCTAGACAGATGTGATATTTGAAGTGCTCCAAGTATCTGGAAATGTTCCACAGAGTGGCCAAAGAAGTGCTTCAAAAATGACCCTCAAAAACAGGGGAACATCTTTTCAGCACTTCCTTTTGACTTGCTTCCTGACACATTTGTACAGGCCAGCAGTCCTCTGGCATGTCTAAGTCCTCTTCTCCCTCCAACCCCTACAGCGGACAGCCAGTGACCAGTCCTGCGTGCACTCGGCTGTCCTTGTGAACCTCTGGAGGCCTGAGACGCATGCTATTTTTAAGTGTTTTTGGCGGGAGGGGTTGGGGTGCACATCTGCACAGTGCCAAATTTGAAGTGCTCTGGGATTCAGAGCACTTAAAATGTATGTCTGTCTGTAGCCCTTGTGAAGTTGTATTCATACAAGCACACCCATCATGCAGAGTCTGCAGATTGGTTCACAACTTTTCTCTATTTATTTTAGGGTTATCATAGGCCAAATCACTACATTGCTACACAAGGTAGGTTTGCCTCTTTTTATATTTCTTATTGGTTAAGTGCACTGTGAGAGATTTTATGCAGAGCTATAAAAATGTGTAGGTTTGGTACACTTTAATACTGGTACTCTTTAATACTGTTTTTCAACGACACAAAATGAGTTCAAGAACTTGTTACAGCAAGCAGCTTAATATAGATTCTCCAGCTTCCAAGTGCTTAACGTAGGGTTTCCTTTACCTTTGCGTCCAGCAGTTTTGTATATAAAACTAAAAGGATATTTAATCCCAGTAACCTTACCCACAAAGGCACAAATGATTAATGAAAAAAATCCTATTCACTATCTCTGTCACTTGGGCACTTTTTGAAAATTTTAGCTGACAAGTTTTAATGTAGGACTTGAAGATGTGCTAGTTTTGCAACAATGTGAAAACAGATTTGATTCCTGAAAGAGGCAGGAGAGACTTTTTTTAGCCTTCCTTCAAATGTTTGCTTATGAACAGATAGATATCTATTCCTTTCATTAATGCACAAAAGAGTTTTTCAAATTTTAACTCTCATCAAAGATGTAACTTGCCCATTTTGACACAGTTCTTATTTAACTTTTGGCCAAGATCATAGCTGGAACAGATGAGAAAGTTGTCCACTATGGATTTTGAATCATAATATGAAATGATTTGAAAGTCTCTTCTGCTGCCTTTGCTCAGAAAAAGGTATTGGATAGAATACATGTGAAAACTTGATTGCCCTTCCACTCCTGGGAGGGATACTTCTCTATAATAGGTATTCTATAATAGAGCTTCCTGAATTTGTCAGTGGATTTGCAAAAGGTGTGAGCTGCACCTGGGTAATGAATTTATTTCAGTATGTGCATAGTCTTCCAAGAGCACCTGTTAGGAAATACAGTTTCATTTCTCATTTATTGGTTAGCGTAACAAGGTGTGCATGCTGAGGACATACCATTAAGACACACTGAGCTGGTCATCTTAAATAAGGGCACTAGCATTAACCACTGCCACTTGAACAGCCTAATCTTTGCAGACCACAACCCCCGATTTTACCAGAGGCTATTTAAACCTTCCCTCTATAATGTAGTTGTCATTAGTCCCAAATGATCTGCTGCTTCATTGCGGCCTCCATTGTCTGATGTCAGTGGGGCAGGACCTTGGTTTAACTTGCTTAATCTACCACCACTGTAACCTACCCTCAGCGACCCACATCCTCCAAACTCTCTACCAATCAACTCAGAAACAGAAACTAGAATATTCTCTGAAGATTTCCTTTTCTTGTTATTTTTGTTTTTTGTTTTTTTTTTAACACGGCTCTCTCACTAAGCAACTTTAATTGTTCCATTTGTCCTTTGATTTATGGTGCTATTGATTTTATTGTTAAGTGAAAAACTGAAAACAGCTGCATTGTCATTTTGTTTACAGTCCAAATTATAGTTAATCAGAGGCCCTTTCCAGGAACTGAGCTCCATTTTGTACAGGTTAATCCAGTCTATTAAAAACTATTCTGATAATGAGAAATTCTCTGAAGCCATTTTAAATATGATTTCTTATCACTTAAACAACAAATACTGAGTTTTTGATAACTTTACTCCCAAGGCATCTAAAGCCAACATAGATAAAAGAATTTTTGAAAAGTGACAGGTGCATTAGTGAAATTTAGGGTAATTTGAATATTATCTACTATGGTTCCAATATGGCAGCAAAGAGAAATAGCAAGATGGTGAGGAGAATAAAGAAGCTGAATGCAAGTTTTCTTGCAAAATTTTAAAAAGAAGTGACTGTTCACATTTCTAGCTTTTCGAATGCCATGTTTTTGCTCTGTAATTATGCTGTGCCCCACATAATGGACTTCTGTTTAATGCATGGCACTCTTAGGTGCCTCTGCAGTTTGAATAATCATGATGATAATAGCAGTATGAAAAGATCTGTCAAGAAAGAGAATTAACAAGAAAATGGACAAACAACATGATACAAATTCAGATTGTATTTGGATTTAGGTCTCAGACTGTTTATAGATGAGATTTTCAAAAATGTCTTTCCCATGAATTTAGGCATATGCTTAGTTTTATCTTAGAAGAAGTGATGAGTACTGGTCTTTGCAGACCTATTTCTTGTTCCTGGCTCTACTGCTGGGTGACTTTGGGCAAGTTCTTTCTCATCCCTGTTCCCCACTTGTAAAATGGGTGATGACACTAAGCTTTTCTTGTCAAGCACATTGAGAACTAGTGCTAGAAGTGCCATATAAGAGCTGAAAGATCTTGCTGTCCAGCCTTCTTATTTCCAGCCAAGACCCTAGATACAATGTGATATCCCTTCCTGAAATATTCAACCAAAGTTATGGTCTCTATTTTTAACAGTGCTGGCAAATCATCCTGAAACTGAGCACTTCTTCTGGATTGATACATAGCCCTTATAACATAGTATAAAAGAAAAAGGAAAAAAATCGTTCTCTACCTGTTTGTCATTTTTGGTTGTAAACCTGTCACTGAACATACCCAAAGTTGCTCACATTCCTTTTTAAGACAGTTCCTCATAGAAACATGTAAGCACATTGATGTGACACATTTTGAGCTATGTTTGTAATTCCCCTAAGATATCTCAATCTTATGAGTCCTGTCCCCTCAAAACACACTGACACATATTATTCTTTGCAAGGAAATATCATTAGACAAGTCATTTTTAAGTCTCTATTGAGTTAGCATGATTGATATTTAATTGTCCTAGTGTTCTTCCTCAGCTGCATTCAACGTATCAAGTGTTAATGAGCAAATATAATTGTATGCATCTAAAAAGTGGCAAATTTAATCAGTTTGTAATAGACTACCAATCTGGTTTTAACAGAGCTGGGAGTTGCATAATCACCTGTTTATTAGAGTTTTACTGTCTTCCATAATAACCAGAGTTTGCTTTGCGGACCCATATCTTGTATCCTAGAAGCATATATACTAGTGCTACTATTCAGCTAATATTGGGGGGGGGGTAAGAGAAACGGCAAATAGGATATGTTTGTATCTAATAATCAATGGAACTTTTTTTTACTGCATTTTAAGTGTAACAAATTCAAAACCTGCAGTTTGGATTAGGAAAAATTAGCATCTCTTTTCTTCTGTGCTATAAATTTAATGGGACTGATAATATGAACTTGCTGTTAATGAATACTTTTGGTGATTTGCTATAATTGGCACTGGCATATAGAATATGCACCCAAACCACCCTGATAATAAAGAACCCTTTGTCATAAGTCAGTGCAGCAGGTCGGACAGAACTAACAAGCAGGTGCAATTTAAAAATCATCACTTGCTGCTTTTTCTCCCTTTATTCCATGGTTATAATTCTTTAAACAATTTTTCACTGCAGGATACTGAGTATCTGTATGAACTATCCAATTTACTGTCAGCAAGTTTTGTTTCCAGGAATTAGGTAGTCAGTGAATTTCAGCAAGTCCTTTTAATAAGAGGCATGAATGTCTATGCTTTACTTGATCTCACCCATATTGGTCAATTTTATTGTCTCCAGTTGACATTGACCTATTGTTCTTCTCATATGTTGAATGACTATTTGACCATGATTAGAAAGTAAAAAAATAAATGTATATTTATTTCTTATCTTTTTATATTTAATTATTTTCCCCTGACTGTTAACTCAGTGACTTCTAACAAGTCTCATCACTGCTAAGTCTCACTTATATCATCTACCTGTCTTGGGGAAAGCAGCCATAATGTAAGTGGAAGCCTGGGCCTAGGTGATTTATTCAAATGCTTTTTAAAATATAAAGCTCAATGATTACAAAAAATTTGTGAAGTCAAGTGATCTTTTTGCATTAAATCAGCCCAAAGTAGCACCTCAAATCATTATGTTTTTCTTTTCCTTTTATACATCTAATTTTAACACAGACAAAGCACTTGTTTTTTATATTGTATATTGTTGACATGGTAAGACCAAGTCAGGTTTCCTCCAGGAAGATTTTTTTATCTCTGAAAATAAGTATTTATAATGGAAATGTTTACACAGCTTTAACTATAGCAGCACAAATTTGCCACTATAATAACCACTTTCATTTCCTTTTTCTTTGCTACAAAGTATCTTTTTTTCTACATACTGCTGTATATAATGTGCGAACGTTTTAATAAGCGCTTTCAGAAACATAAATACATTTTCTTTCCAGCTAAAAGTTACCTTTCAGGCATCTGAAGCAGAAATATAGCTTTGATTAGTACTCTGAACTTCTTTACAGGTTTTTTTTATATAGCAAAAAGTTGCCAGAACTAAAGGCTAGGTGCAGCCATTCAAAAAGCCTGAAGCAGAATCAATATAAGTTACTATGTTTTCTGTAAGCATCGTAATTTAGATCAGTAACAAACAGAACACACATTTGCCTTTTCGGGGCGGGGGGCAAATCTGAGACCATCATTTTTAAATCAGTCTATGTGTACTAAATTTCTGTTCTATTATAGGTATAGACCAGTTTTGCATGCCAAGCTTCTGTTCTGTTATGGATATAGACTGGTTTCCAATCACTTATACTAGTAAGTGATTATGTTTGTATCTTAAGTGGACATTCTACATTTGGCACATTAAGAAGCTTTTATTGCCATGATTCTGGTCTCCAGGTGGAGGTTAACATTTGAAATTATTTCAGATGACAATTAGAAGGACAAAAAAACAAAACATCAGGGTTTCCACCATTTCTAGACACACACTTCGAATTTTGTACCCACAGCTTAAGGGAGTTAGCCTGGTATCCTGTTAATTCTAGTTTAGCTGATTATATGATACCTACTTAAATTCTTCCTGCCTGTTCATCTGGATCTTCACTAACTTAGGCCCCAGTTCAGCAAAGCATTCAAGCATGTGATTAAGTCAGTACAGATCCAGCCAAGCACTTAAGCATTTTATTGAACAAGGATCAACTATTGAACTTGAGACCTTAAGCTGTTCAGTAATACTGATGCACAGTATGAAAACAGTTAAAATAGGATATATTTATTGTATACTTTATATGTTTATGTGGCGGA